GTGTCAAGAGGCCCAGAATGGATCACAATCTGAGGTGTGTGCATCCCAGAGGACTCATCAGTCAAAAATCAAGTATGACTGGTATCAAACAGAATCTCAAGTAATCATTACACTTATGATCAAGAATGTTCAGAAGAATAATGTAAATGTGGAATTTTCAGAAAAAGAGTTGTCTGCTTTGGTGAAACTTCCTTCTGGAGAGGATTACAATTTGCAACTGAGACTTCTTCATCCTATAATCCCAGAACAGAGCACATTTAAAGTACTTTCAACCAAGATTGAAATTAAAATGAAAAAGACAGAGACCATGAGATGGGAAAAGCTAGAAGGGCAAGGAGATGTGCCTAAACCAAAACAGTTCATAGCAGATGTAAAGAACTTATATCCATCATCATCTCATTATACAAGAAATTGGGATAAATTGGTTGGTGAGATCAAAGAAGAAGAAAAAAATGAGAAGTTGGAGGGAGATGCAGCTTTAAACAAATTATTTCAGCAGATCTATTCAGATGGTTCTGATGAAGTGAAACGTGCTATGAACAAATCATTTATGGAGTCTGGTGGTACAGTTTTGAGTACCAACTGGTCTGATGTAGGTAAAAGGAAAGTTGAAATCAATCCTCCTGATGATATGGAATGGAAAAAGTACTAAATAAATAAATTTGCTATCACTGTAAAAAAAAAAAAAAAAAAAGAATGTGTCTGAGCCAGGTTGGGAAGAGCCAGTATTTAATTTACTTAAAACCTATGGCTCAGATTTCTAGGTAAATATGATGATGAATCCCTATTCTACAAAAATTTTTTTTTTGAAAAATTGTAGCATCAAGCAGCAATGGAGAGTCCCTGGTAACTCTGTATTATTCACAAGCATATTATGAAGTTTATGTCTACCTTACATTTTTAGTATTTTGGAGTCAAGAAACTAGACTGGCATGAGTATAAAACAAAATAAACTATTTCCTTTTTGTTTTACCTAAACTACTACGTATAACTAAGTGGTTCTTAACCAGTGATTTTACCCCTAGAGGATTTTTCAAATTATCTGGAGATACTTTTGGTTGTCTCAACTCTAAAGGGAGGAATGCCATTGGCATGTAGTGGATAGAGGCCAGGAATGTTGCTAAATATCCTACAATGCACAGTGCAGACCTTCTAAACTAAGAATTATCTGCTCCAAAATGTCAATTGGTTGAGAAACCCTGCTGGAAGACACTTGCTAATTAATGAAGGGTCAGAAATATTCCACTTCTTCCATGGAAAACTACTAAGTTGGCTAATTTCTGTAAATGTGGCACCATTTTGTAAATATGCCCATGGCTTATTTTGCTTCCGTCTTTCTTATGCTACAGATTTCCAGAGATCATACAGCATTTCCAGATTTCTTAACATCAGCAGCTGAAGGAAAAATGATGACAACTGTAGAAATGTACAATAGCATGTTGATCTCATGTTTGATGGCTTAAAGAGTGTAAGATAGATATATATGTATATACATATACACACACACATATATATAAGTATATGTCTATATAATTTATCTCTTTGTTCTTTTGTGCATTAGAGTTATGTGAAAGTGAAATCCTAGGCATCAGATAATAATGTTGGTGATATGACCTCTGTGAAAATAAGACTACACATTTTTCCAGCAGTCTTTCCTTGCAAAAATGCTGTTGGACTGCTGCTCTAACAATTGAGTTCAACCCATATTTATTGTGCTTACGATAGAGACTGTTATGGAGGTTGGATAGAGTGGCGCATACTTCCTGTCTAGACAACTTACATTTTTCCACATGGCTAACCACCTAGAATTGTGACTAATCTAACTGCTTAAACAAACTTAAAACTTATTTCCTTTTTATAGTCTGCTTTCAGGGAAATAAAAAGGAGACTTGATTTTTTCTCGCTCAAGTCACTAGCACCACAGGATGAACCTTAGAGAAATCAATTTAAACATCGATTTTTTTTTTTTTTGGTAAGATGCTATTTGCAGAAGGTTAACTGATCAACCAGCTAGTCAGATCAATTTGATTTTTTATTTAGCTAAAGAAGTGAACAATATCGTAAATCTTGTGATAGTCTATGTATGTCAGTTAGATGGTAAAACGTGAAGTTGTTAGTCTAACTGCATTACAGAGACTAAGGGCAAAGAGCCAATCTCAGATTTAAGGGTTGATTCTCTCCCGGGAATTAAACCTATCCCTGCCATTTCCAGGACAAGTCGCGCTACTGTGACCTAGATACTAACTCTTTCTATGGTTGTCATCGGAAGTCTGATATTCTTCCCTATGAAATTTACATGTCCACAAAAGAGATAAAGATATTTGTTAAAAACAAATTCTTCACTGTGGCCTCAAATATGATTTAGAGGTCCCCTGAGTGATTCTATGTCACCATCTTTTTTTAATAGTCTGCAAGGTCTTGATTTTGATCTTTTGAGTTGTTTGCCCAGCTTAAAAAAGACAGGCCATCCAAAGCCAGGAGGAGACTTTGATTTGAAAGAAAAGATACACTTGTGGATCGTCAGGCAAAGGTGTCAAATCCTCAGAGAATGACAATGGAAGAAAGCTCAACCTGTCAGACATTTACAGAAGGAGCATCTGTGTCATGTTACTTGTCAGGTGGAGGGTCCTTTAGCCAGGTTCTAATAGGTTCCAGCTCCTAGGTCTATAGTTATTGCGAGTGCAAGCAGAAAAACACTTGAGAGTCATCTTATTTCCACTGAAGGCCAGTAGTAGATCCTAATAATAAAAAATAGACACAGAATATCCAGATTGCCTGTGCTAAGATAACAGCTCTACCACTTGCTAGCTATATAGAGATAAATATACTAAAGCTTTCTTTATCTGTAAAACTTGAAAATAACAGTACATCTGTGCTTGTGAAGATTAAAAGTGTTAATGTTTGTAGCAATAACATTCTGAATGTTAGCTACAATAAGGTAAATATTTCAGCCTCAAATAGCCTTTAAAATTAGAGAAATCAAATATTCTTTAATTTTCACAAATTTTCTTGAATTTTGCATGAGTATAGGCAGTAAAAGGATTCTAGTTAGTATTTTAGTCAAGGAACATTTTAAGAGTTGCCAATCTTAATAGTTGTTTTTCAGCACTTAAAATGAACTAGGGATCAGGCTCTAGTTGTACCTCAAATAAAGTTGGTCCAAATTAAATAGAATCTAATTATTTAGCATTTTCAAAAAAAAGATGAAAATATATAAAGTGGAGTTAAACGTGAAAGTAATCTCCAAATCATAGAATTCTAGCATAAAAACTCTGGCCTTGGGATTGAATGGAGAAAATAAAAGGATTACAGTGTTCAGTGCTTTCATGGATATCATTACGAAGGAGTTCAGGATAAAATTCTAAATAGGCTCAAGAAGAATTTACATAAATCATAAATAATGTACTAAAGGAATTATGGATGTGTGGGTTTCATAATTACATTCTAGGATTTTTTTTAGGAAAATTGCTTGAAAGGAAATGATAATTCTCTCCCCAAAGCAATCTTTATTGCTCTTGTTAGAGACAAAGTATTATCCCAGTTGGATTGTTTTAAATGAGCAGGATGATTATCACACACATAGAAATTATTAGTGGATATTAGACTCTGCAGTATAATAGAATTGTGAATTTGAATTAGAGTTGAGGTGCTTTTGCTTCTGTATGGGCATAGGCAAGGCAATTCTTTTCTATGAAACTTTTGCACATATAAAGTGAATAATAATTCCTATCTTTACTTCACAAATGTGATTTAGACTAAATGAAAACAAATTTATATTTTTTGAAAACATTAAAACAATATCAAATGTAGGTAATAATCATTATTATTATTATTATTATTATTATTTTGCCTTAATTAATCAAGGAGATCAGTTCACTGGTTCATCACCATGGTCATTTTTAAACAAATTACATGCATCCTAGAATACCTAATGATAATTTAAAAATATTTACAGCTGACAGAGATTGATCTGACTGACCTCATGTAATTCAGGTTTTAGTTAAAATGAGAGACTCTTTTTGAAAATTTAAAAGTGCTAAACTTTAATTTTTTTAAGTTCCTTCAAGAACTGACAATGCATAATTCAAAATTCAGACATTTTAGTATAACATTAACTGGTTGGGGAATAAATTATAAGGGAAAATGGGGTGATCTACACTAATGGATAAACCATGTCCTAAAAATATGGACCATTTTTGGAAATAAGATTTCAGTTCACTGAGCTTAATATTAACAAATATAAATTCTCCAGTTTTCTAAACATTATTCAGTGATTTTTATAGGGTTAACTCCTTGTTACATGATTATTTTACAGGAAAGCATCAAAAACATGCTTAACAGCTCATTTTCAAATAAAACCAAGAAGAGAAAATTTTGTATGTGGAGAGTCACAGGTAAGACTAATTCACTGAATTAGTCCTAAGAATGAGAAGCAATTTAGTCTACAAAAAAATTGTGAATTCTTTCTTCAAACAGTTCTACTTTCATTACACTTTCTACTGGTATATATGTGCATGTCATATTTAGAACAAGCATTTTTATTGTTGCATGCACAAAGAAAATGTTTTATTTTGCTACTCCAAAATTTTAAAATAATCTCTTCCTCAGTGTGGTGGACATGTTCAATCACTTTGTTCTATTCTCTTGACACCTTTCTCGGTGTAGATACCAGGGTCTCTGCAGGACAGACATATAAGGCTATACCCCGCGTTAGTTGATTCAAAAGGGCAGATTCCAATTCATACTTAACTAATCTGTTTTGCTGTCTATGCAGTTGGAATTTGTACTGAGAAAACAGTAATTCTGTGTAGACTGTATCAGCACTAGAATGAGGATTTGGCCAAAGAAGCAGAGACAGAAAATAAGCACAGAAAGAGAGTAAGGGAGAGAGAGAGAGAGAGAAAGAGAGAGTGAGAGAGAGAGAATAAAACAAACAAAATCAGTATCAAACTCAGAGCATGGCAGAGAGAAGAAACTAAATAGCTCTAGGAAGACTATTGTCTTGGTAGATTCCAGTTTTGTGCAAGTCCCAACAATACTTTCTGCTCTCGGTCTAATCATGGCACACCTTTTTCCCCTTATATTAAATTACCCTTTGCCCTTTAAGCCAGTAGGAGTTAATTTTAGTTACTTTTAACAAAATAACTTACCTCTGTAATAAAGAGACACTAACTTGCAGTTTATACACTTGCAATTGAAGAAACTGTACTGAACATAAGAGGTGGATTCACAGGTCGCACTATTTGTCATTGACAAAGCTGGAGTAGGACTCAGCTTTTGTATTCAATGTTCTTTTCATATTTGTACATTCTATTTGCCTTCATATTATTTTTCTGCTTAGGTCCCCCTATTATCTTTATCATCCCACTAGATCTCACATAGCCTAAATCTAACCCTGTACATGTTAGCAAAGATAAAGTCTTGTAATTTGGTGAAGAAAAATAAGCCCAAAGCAAAAAACTGCAAATATTTTATGTCTTCAATTAGAGCAACACAGTTTTCAGAATACATACTTTTTAATTGTAGAGTTTTTAATTGACCATAAGCAATAGAACCTTCCTGGAGGATATAGTATTGCATTCTTACCATTATTTCTGGGCAGGGGATCTTTTTGAAATGTAAGAAATTACATACGATGTATAGCTTGTTAAGCTCTAACAGAAAAAAGAG